GTGCTAAGTCATATGCAATTTTTTGAAAGGACTTTGCCATTTTTGTTTAGTATTCACGGAAGGTATTCGTTCTGATAACTTCCAAAACATTTTTTGTGCGTGCAATATTATGATGTTCGCGGAGTTTTATCTGGATATCCATGACAATTTTGTGCAATAGATTTTGAGCAAACGTTGAAGAGTAAATTTGACGCAATTTATTCGAAAGAAATGTCCCAGTTTTTTGTTTGATTATTTTCTTTGGTCCACGTTGGTGATGGCAAGTTTAAATTGTTTATATCCTTGCATCTATTCGCTGCGTTTCTCAGAAAAAAAGTGCCTGGCAAAGAAATACAGGACATACATACATAGTTGAAATCCGACTTGGAAACGTTCATTTTCCAAAATCCACACAAATGGCGTGCAATAAAAACGAAATGGTAATTTGTCAGAATGCAGGTTGAATACCTACCATCACATTCTCTGCACAAATACATTTTTCAGGTTGCCAAATGGATTCTCTCCCAACATACTGAAAAATTCTCCACAAGCGTTTCTGGCCCCTTCAATTTTGTTGTAGAGAGTCTACCTGTATATTTCGGATTTGAAAGGCACAGTAGTGAAATTCAGCTTATTAACATAAGAAATTCCATTATCCTTCTGGTAATTTCAAGAAGACGTCAAACTGTTGTCCAAAAAATTTGATATTGCTTGGATCATGATGAAGTCATCCTTTCCGCAGCAAAATGTCACAAGCGAAAATGTTCAAGTTACTGCATTTAGAATTTAGATTCCATGATTTCGTACCTTCTCTTTTACATTTATCCGTCTCTCGTTCGCAAAATTTGAGGCGCAGAAGTGCATATCACAAAAAAACTGCATTGTGCAACAACAACGAAGTACGTCACTTTTCAATCCTCGGTTTTAGTCATTCCGAAGTCTTCTGTTAACTTTTTTTTAGGAACCTGTCACCAATTAATAGATTTTTATATACGCTGCAATGAAGTACAGCACTGGCATAAAGGACTGAATCCATTAACCGAGCCCTCGGGTTTCATCATCGATTCAAAGGTAAAACAACTTGTCTGACAAGGCCCTGTGATGGACACGGCGCAACGACTGGCCCGTGAGAAATGCCAACTTGTGGGCGTATTGACACGGCGCAGGAACCCGCACTGTGCCTGTCCAGTTGAAATACGCATGACACAAAACGTAGGTAATGATCTGCAATTGATCCGACGTGAACCCGAAGCCACGGGGATCATCATGCAGGGTTCTATACGAAACTGGGTTTACGGTACCTTCGCGCACACTCTGGGGTATGAGATAGAAATCCACCCATTCGGGATTCGTCACCACGTCGTCGATCACCGTTCCGGGTTCGGGGTTCATCGCAGCAGCAGCTCTCCCAGGAGGGCCTTCGCGGAAAAACTGTGTTTGAATTCGCTTGTTCACGGAAACGACTTTCAGACGGGTTTCGGGGCACAGTTTCTCGATGGCCTTGAGCACGCCGGCGATTTCCAGTTGCCGAACGGGTTCCACGTCACCTTCGCCAACTCCGTCTCGGTAGAACAAAATTCGTCGGGGATACGCAGAGTTGTTCTTGTGGTACGATTTCAATGCGGAAACGAATAGGGCTTCCATGTTAGTACCCAATTCAGAGTGGTTTTCGTGGAAGGCGACGTTGGACGTGAACTTGGTCATTTGTTCATCCAACGAACAAACCAGGGCACCCACAGATCTGCAGATGTTGATATAATTAATATGAGACAGGAAAAATGAAATAACCAAGAAAAATACAGTGTGACCCCAATACAGTAAATGGATGATTGGACTATGGGAAAATGAAAACTCGAAAAAATTGCTCCAACATTTGGACAATTTCTCAAGATATGGACACTACTGTACTTGCCAACATTTCCAGAAAAAGAAAAAATTTCCATTTTTCAAAATTTGATGACCCATGAAGCAATTGAGCAATTCATTTTTTTTAAATTTCAAATAAATCTTGCAATCGATTTACTCAAATTCATAATCAAAATCAGACTAATGTTTTTTTTTTTTTTTTTTATTTATTCCATCATCAGTGCACAACACAGCAAGAGTTATACTTGTTCTTTGCCTATTGGGCTCCTTTCAATGCGAAATGATTAGATTCTGTATGGTTTTCTCCTGCACAAATATGTCCTGCATGTTGAAGTTGAGAAAAATATATTCGATTTTTTGGACTCATTTTCTAATTTTTCAAGAATAGTAGACCGAATTAAATATGTTCCCATTGACTTGCCGTAACTTGGGGTAATGTTACGTCCACCAATTGCCCTTCTACAGAATAGGCGACCTCCAATTTAGCATCATCAAATAAAAAGCAGAGATCAGAACATGTTTCCCTTGGAAAGAGGTAACACTTTTTTCTTCAAGCAATTAAGTCCGATAATTTATAAAACCAGCGTGTTTCCCTTTTCCAACTCGCTCTGTCTTTGCATCAAATGGGTCAAGGAATGATCAAATACGGTATTTCTCTGCATAAATTTAAGCGATTTTAATCTACACGAAGACAAGAGCGCAAGGTTGACAAAACCCACGGAACCTCAAATATTTGTTTCATCCAGTGATTTAATGTTGTATTCTGAAAATTAAATTCATTTTGATCGTTCTCGAAAATTGTACGCATAAAAATATACACCTGGTTCACAGGAGCATTCAAAAAAATGAATGAAAATATCCAGTTAGTTTATTTTTACTCAAGAGCTGTTTTGTACTTTCGCTCCTGCGCCGTTTTGGGACACGGATCAATTGACGAATCTCTCGGATTCCTCGCCAATTTTGATGACTCACCTGTTCTGCATCGCAACGTCGTGATTCACGTCAAATCCAGCAACCATGAGTCCCTGTAGAGGCACACGAATTCTCCACGGGGCACCACCCATCTTTGTGTTCATCTGGATAAAGAGCTTGGAACACACGCTCAACAAAGCTCTCGAATTCTGCAGGGTTTTCCTTTGTATGACTTGGCTCGGAATCGCGTTATCCACGCACAACCGCCTTTTGATCGCGTTGTAACGATCCGCCCTGAAGAAAAATTCATCGGATTCAATGACGCTTCAATTTCATACGAGGGTTGTCCAAGTTTGACGCGGCCTCCAATATATCTAGAAGAGGTGTGATTGTAAAAAAAAATTCTTGACATAGCCTATGATGTTCTAAGGTTCTGGGATTTGTTTTCGGTTTTAAAAAAGTTTTGAATCTCCTGCATGATGAAAAGTGAAAACTCGCTGGTTACAGCCAGAGTTTTCCACTCATGTCTTAGGGTGCAAAAAATTTGTCCGGCCAGCTAAAAAAAATGAAATGTTGCTGTTGTTCAAACGATTTTATTTTCCACTTTAGATAAGGGTTAAAAGATCAGAAAATTTAAATTCATTTTAGCTGAACTGCAATTTTTTTAGCCCCCTGTGACATGGATGGAGAACACTGGCTGTAACTGAAAAATTTCCAGTCCCCGTTCCGTCTTCTAAATTATTTTCCGCCAATTAAAACATCTACAAATATTTTGTACTACATGTAAAGGTTAATCCAATGAAAAATCCACGAAAAGGATGATTCAATTTTAATTTGCATTTTGCGTTTTTACTGCTCAGCTGAAAGTGTAGTAAATAGCGCTGAGTCGAATTTAGTCAGTGAAATTTCGCACATTCTTAAAATTTTAAAGCAAATGATCAATAACTCATTACTCACTGAGAATCTGGCACAATGACGGTAATCAAATCGAACTGGAGATCCAGGGTTCTATCCACGGCTTCTAGAAAGCTGGATGCACGGGAATCGACCACAGATTTCAGCGTAGGTGGCTTCACAGAACCCCCAAAACCTCGAGCCGCACGTTGCAGATTCTCCGCGAAGTTCCTGGCGACTGAATCGTCCGACCGCCTGTAAGTCAAAAATTAAAATCAATTACGGCATTGTACGTATTTTTGTATCCCCTGGTTCATGTCACAGTAAAGAAGAAAAGAAAATGAAACATTGGAATGACGCGATGCAGCATACCGGAAATTCAAATAGTCTGCTAAGGATCAAGAACCTATTCTTTAACGAATGCATTAAAAATTTTAAACAATACGCTGAGACTTTAAACAAAAGGCAGAAAGGTTTTTACACTAATCTTGTCATTAAAAGCCACTGCAACCCGAAAACAATAGTCATAACAAAAACAATACATGGTTTGCATCGAGACTTGAAGAAAAGGTTATTCCTCTACTGCAGGAACTTGAGGAAGTTTGTGTACAGTAAAATTTTGTAAGAACTGTAACAAGATTTGTGGTTATGTGATTTTATACGCAGTAACTTAGAAAAAAATGCATTACACCAAACATACCCTAATTATGAATAGGTTGAAATCTCTCCGGTAAAGCAACAACACTTTTCGAAGTGGAAGCATTAGAAAATGTTCATCATAATGTTCTGAGTTTTTGGATCCTAGAAACAATAGTTTTGTAGAAAGATCCCACCGAACCGGACTCTTCCAAGAAGCATAAAGCAAAATACACTTGAATAGTTCCTTGATTTATGAACTTGATTCTTTCTAGTAAGAAGTTCATAAAAAAATTGAGGAATTCAGCAATAAAATCCAAAGTACATTAAATGGTTCCAGACTCACAAAAATTCCTCCAACTTATTCATAAAAAACGTCATCGATTAGATAATCTCTTTAGGATCCGTTGGAAATTTCGTCAATAAAAAATTTATCAAATACTGTAGATGCTTTCCTCAGCATAAAATGAGAGAAAACCCATCACTTCAAAAATACGGTATCGCTTTTAAAATTAAGCTTGCGACAGCTACTTTCCTCAAGGCAAACTTGATTTTCGAACGAAAATCACTTTTCATGCAATCTAGTATCCAAAAAAGGGTTCACTATCCGAAGCAAAAATTGGTGGCAGCCGAAGCACAGGGAAAAAAGTCCATTACACGGGGTATCAAAGCATCTCCCTTGTTGGTTCATTATCCATCAGCAAATAGTTTATCG